GTAGAAATAATTATCTCCAACAATTGCTCATTTGATTTTTTTTTTTTGCTTCTTTCCGTTTCATTATTTTTAGCAATTACATATGTAGCATTTTTGAGGTGGAATTCCGCAATTAAAAATTTTTTGAAATTTCAAGCAGTTTGTCTGAATCCACATTCCTTTTAATTATTGATGGGTGTTTAAGTGTAAATATAGGTTTTTGTAAGAATCCTTCTATTCTATATTTGCTGCAATTTTACTGACGAAAATTTAAACAAATTCTTAAGATCATGATCCAATTTGTTCGGAGTACAGTACATAAACTCTTACTAACCCTCCAGACCTTAATTGAAATTTGTCACTACCCACAAATGTCACTTAAGATAGCAACCAAAAAAAAAAAAAATACAAAATCTCACTTCCGATTACAATCTCTCGACCTTCCATTGAGAGAATTGTTCGTGATAAGATAATAAGTAAAATGCGCTATTATTCTATAATATCAACGACATACACCTTCATACGAATCTTCTTGTTGGCATCATATGCTGTGAGGTACTTAAATGTAATTTTCTTTTCTCATTTCATTTTATATTTTGAATAACGAATGATTTAGAGCAACAGCTTTCTGTGCAAAAAAAAACAGAATATATACACTGAGAAAGAACTTCTTTTTCTCCACATCGTTTCTGCTCTGTCTTGTTATTTCGCCTCTCGGCATAAGATTATTTTATACAAGTAAGGTCAGAAGAAGAAGAAAAATTGCTAGCAACGAGGAAGATTGTTTAAAAAGTTTTATCATGAAATTTATTAAAAAAAAGTTTCTAAGAACGATCAGCTTACGAATTTAACTTGTGGGATGATCAGATAAATAAATGATTTTATGGGTTAGATGATTACAATCAGAGCGAATAGAATGATTTGATTGAGATTGAAATATAGAAAGATTAATGGATTTTTGTTGGAGGATCTCCAAGTAAAGCCGCATCAACGATAACACCAGACACTGTTCAGAGCACTGTTCATAGCAGAAAATAGTTTAAGATGGCATTCTGCCAAGCTCGGAGTAACCCCCGATAGCTCAGTGGTAGGAGCATGCGACCGGAAATCGTAGGACGTGGGTTCGAGTCCCACTCGGGACCGTTATTTCGGAAGTTTACTTTTTCTGCTAAATATTCAAAAAAAACTAAAGTTTCTCAAGTATCAAAATCAAGTTCTAACAATTTTTTTTTGCACAGCTTAGTAAATCTATGTTTGTTGTGGAAAGATTAAAGCTAGCCAATTTGCAATTATTCATGTTTGGAAGTTAAAAAAAATCAAAGAGTATTTTGGGTGTTATAGAATGTTTGAGTTAGTTGAAGTTTAATGTAAACATGGAACTTTTTGGCAGCACAAAATATATCAATGAATATGCTGTATGCTGATTTCAAAAAAAAAATAAGTTAAAACGATACAAAAATTTCTAATCCTTAAAATTATTGTTAAAAAAATAACTTCTCATATCTTTATTCGGAACCAGCGGTATGCATCCAACAGAAACTCTTTTTCTTCCAGGAAATTGATAAAAAAAAAATACATTCACGATTTTAAGACTTAATCTTTTCATATCTAGTTTTATCTTCTTTTAAAAAAACGTGAAAAAAATGTATTTAACCTCAATGCTCATTATTTTGCTTCAATCAATCAACCGTTCAACCAATCAGACAGACATTGTACAGATATGAATAGCAGATTGATATTTTCAATGAGCACAAACCAATGACGTCAAACCGCGATTTAAAGAAATTCTATTTAATTGATTACGCAAATAATATGAAGCAGCAAGTGTTGAAGATTGTGTAACGAAGCAATTGTGACGTAACTATCTGTTATGTATTTCTAATCCAGCAACACATTTTCACTTTTTAAATTCAATTTGAGATCAAGAGAATTGTTTATTCTTTTAAAAATTTCCTATATTGCTAGTAATACATCAAACATATCAATCATAATATTTAGCATCCGCTTTAAACAATAATTTTATGAAACATCAGAAATAATTGTCTCGAAATTCAACTAAAACTAATTTGTAAAACGTGGCAAAATTGGCTACGTGACTTATTTCATAACTTTTGCGATTTAATATCCATTGATAATTAATTTGATTTCGTTCCTTATATTTTATGTCTTTGATAGGTGAACCAGTGCCGGTGAATATTCCACATCAGTTTGAATATGAAACAAATTTATCTCGTAATTATCATCAAAAAGGAAATTCTAAAGTCAGTAATTAGCAAGCTTCATGGAAATTAATAAAATGTTCATAATACCGACAAAAATTTTCATCGCAAATTAAAAGTTGCAACTTTTTTTTAGGTTATTACACATCCACATTAATAGTGTGAAATTGAAATCACGCAATGTCATTTCGTTGATAAATGTGCACTGATAAAATAAAAGCGCCATAGCCTTGAAATTAATTCTCATATCTCGTGCTGTGTCGGAAGGATCAGCGCGAAGTAATTTTTTATGAACCTTGCAATTAAATTATTCTTTTCTAGTACTTAATGCGATCTATACGAGACAATTTTCATCTCAACTTTGTAATATCAAAATAATAAGGCATCATCAATTGCTACGGTCATTATCTTTCATGAATGAGAAGCTTGGAACCTTCGGTAATGATTATTGCTTGTTTTTGAGATAAAAATACATAAAATATTTGCAGATTGTCCGATTGGAATAAAGTAACATTAGATTCTAATCTCAGAATACAATAGTCAAGTCAAAATTGTTAAGAAACCTAATGTGTATAGGCCTTCCATTCCAATAACTTAACTTTTAAAATTATTTAATTTAACTTTTGAATCCCCATTTTCCTTTTTGCAAGGAAACAGAAACGAATTCTTAATAAATTTAATTTCATTATTATTGTTTTCTTTCAAAGTCAACGCTATTAATTACATAGTCAGCCGGGAGCATCATAATAATCCCTATCTCGTGTATTTTATCATCTCTTCTCATTCTCTCTGAATTTCAGCATACAAAAAAAATCGTAAACCGAAAATTATACAATCAAAAAATTTATATATTTTTTTCTATAAAAAAAAGTACAAGGCGAGAGAGAAAGAAAGGAAAGACAGAGGAAGAAAAAGTACAAAAAAATATTTCAGTTTCTTATTCTTTTCGTCTCGTGCATTGTTGTTGGCAGAATCTTTTTTATTTTACTCTTATTTTTTTATTGAATGTAATCACTGCGTCGGATTATTTTTGAGAGATGAAAAAAAAAATATATTTATTTGGCCAGCAACACAATTTCTGTATATATTTCTCCAATATGTACATTAAATACATGCGAAATGATCGTTATCAATTTTTGACTATTGTCTGCGTCACACTATGCGTACTTCCAATCCTCGTGACACTTGGCAAAGCATTTGGCAATAAATATTGCATTATTGGACATTTTTATCGATGATTTATTTTATTTTTGTACGTGTGTGGAGAGTAAGTAGGAAGAAAACCTGTAAGGTACTCAACACATTTTTTGCCGCTATATTTGGAAGGAAAAAACTGTTGATAACTGGCACATTTTTTTTCGTATGTTATCTAAAGTACACATGTTTCAGTAAAAGAGTTGCAGTAATTCTGGTTTCGCAAAAATAAAATCAACTAGACTCTTGCTTTTCCATTTAATTTCTGAGTAGCACAAAATATGCTGCTCATGTGGCGTTCACTTAATGGCCATAACGTGTTGCTGGATTGTGAATGATCAAGCTTAACATGAAATATTGTTCGTTGATTAAGGTTGGACATCATACCGCTAAGTCTTAATTGAGATAATCATTTAAGCAAATATGTAGACATTAAGATGGAAATGAAAGATTGTAAATTGCTTAAAATTATTTTTTTGGAAGATTATTTTTATATATTGAGTACGGTACAATAAGAAGGTTGTTGTTCAATTAGACACCAGTGTAAATATGGTTTTTAATTTTTAGAAGCTATAAACAAATAGAAAAACATTTCTGCAACATAATTGTGGAGTCTGGAAATCCCACTTTCTATGAGCGTCATTTGTATGCGACTTTTAATTCAATTCTTAGAATTTGCATTTTAAATGATTAGCATTAGCATGGTATTTATAAAAAGTAATAGCTTTCAAACCTAATTAATGATGTTGAGATCAACTCTTTTTTCTCGGGTTTAAAACATGTTTAATTGCATTTAAAATAAAATCCAAACATTGCAGTTATGAATAACAACTTTATATTAATTCCAGAATTCTCTTATTTTGAATCGACTAGCTGCGATTAGCTTAAATTCAAAATAAGGAAATCTAGTAACTAGTTCATGTTGTACTTTATTATATGCTGAAGCAATCAAGTGACTTGAAATAAAAATTCATGACTAGAAAAACCGCAGGATTATTTCAAGGAAAATATTTTTTTTATTATTTGCAGTTACTAATTGTTCATTCACTTATTTTGTAAAATTTTATTAACAGCTTATTGTGCAAATATTGTATGAGTTCATGCTTTTTTCAGTTACAACTTTGTATTTCATTTTTCTCACATTTTTTAAGATATGAAACTGTTGGGAATTCGTTTTAAAAAATAAAGGATATCGTATTGCATAAGGCAGACAACATGCGTTAAACATTTAAGGACGCAAAAAAGCAAGAAGTCATAAAACAAAACTGTCAAAATTTTACGAACATGTTAAATGCATTTTAAATTTTTCTAGGAATGTATAGCTCGAGGCAACAGAATATTTTTGAGACTCATAACTGCAAATTTTCTTAATTCCATTCAAAAAAAAAACACACATCGCCAAAAAGTAAACTTTCACAGTTTTCATATCATTCAGGTCGATGTCACACCGCAGTTCAATGATCATCACCACTAACATCATTTCCATTCTTCCTTATTCGATAAAAGAATCCACACGCGTAACATATCTTTTTCATCATCATCTTCTTACTTCTGGTCAAACAAGGCACAATATTTGTAAGAAACAAATAAGAAATATACAACATTTACCATTCATTGAGACTTCATAATTCACTGAATGACTAATTATTTGTAATCTTCATTATGACGTATTGGTTATGATCCACACATAATGATCGTCAATTGCGCACGCAATTTTTATTTACTAAAATACAATTTTTCTTTTAAAAAAATTTGTTGTCTTTTATATATTCACACACATCACACCACCACCACCACCGAAGTGGACCGTTAATTGACGAAACGAATTGCAATCAAAGATGGAATGCTTCATGTCCACACTTTCTTCTTAACATACAATATCAAAAAGAATCTGTATATTGGATATATTCTTTTTTAATTTTTTTTTAAAGATTGGATTTGAAGAGCTGCAAACGAAGCGATCTTTACAAACCGGATTTTCACGAGCAACTGAGCGAGCATGATTGAAATAAAAAGTAAAACTCTTTTTTCGTTTCTCTGCTCATTTCTTCTTCTGTTCTATTAATTTTGAGTGTATTTGTGTACTTAGCGTTGTATTTCCAATTTTTGGTTCAGCATTTTTAAGAATGAGAATTGAACGAGAGAGAGAGAGAGAGGGTGAGAGTCCACGCATGTAGAATAAGATTATAGTATTTAAGCGATATTTGTGATGTACGTGAGTTCTTATCAGCATGCCTCTCGTGTCATTGCAACGTGGTAATCAATATTACAAATTTTATTTTCACACTGTCGTGGTTCTTTTATTAGCGCATTTTTCTCTTATTTTAAATGTGCTTATTATTATCTCACTAGACAAAATCGCTGTTTGTGAAGATCACGAAATTGAACGTGTAGATTTGAATACATGTCATAATGGGTGAGAAAAAGTGATTGGGTCACTTTTATTGCTTAATAATTCTGACTTTGCCACTGGCATGGAGTATGGGTTCCTCTAAGTGGTTAAAAAGTGAACTCGGATTGTAAATGATCGATATTATATGACTGATAACTATAACTCAGCCTGTAGATTAAGCATGCATTTTAAAACCTCTTGTTCAGTCCGTAAATCTTTTTACCTAATATACTCTGTCATGTGCGCTCACTTTCAATGATTACCTAATCAGTAATTTAACTTTCAAACTAGTATTCCTTATCAAAGGCAATCAAGGCTAAATGAAAATTTCAGATGTTTATTTTTGAGACGCAATTTTTACAAAAAAAATGTGTAGATTGTTTTAACTTCTCAGTTCCAACTACTTCCGTTGCATTATCAATATTTTTGAAAATTTAAATCTTTTTTTTAAACAGTCGTGATGATTTAAATTGGAATAAGGTGCGCGACATTCGTTTAACCGCACCATAATTTCTTCAATTTTCACTTTTATAAACACTTTAAGGATGGCAACTATTTATTATTTTTAAAGCTGTTTCCAAGTATGTTTAAAATTAGTAAAGAGAAGTCAGCTAAATGTTGTGCCTTGTTAAATTAATTAATTTTTTTATAAATTACAACAACAAAGTGCGAAGTTCGTTTAGCCGCACTTTGAAAATATTAAAATTTTGAGCTGTAAACTTTATTTATTGTACTTATTCTATTCTTAAAGTATTTAAGCAACAAAAATCTATGTTTGCAGACAGTTCCAGAATTTTCCATTAAGTTTTTCACGAGATTTTCCTTCATTTATTTTGTCATACTGAAAATTTCTTCAAAATTAATTTTTTCTCTTATTTTTCATGAAACTGTAATTGTTTTGTCTAAATTAGATAGAAAATGGTTTAAAGTATTAAATGAATCACAAATGTCTTCATCTTTAATTGGTTTTAGGACAAAAATTTGAGAAAAATATGTTTGAGGTGAAAATTTTTCACCACTTTGTTATAATCATTAATAATTTTTGACAAAACTGTACATATCATATAGAATTTGAATAGCCTACCGTATTTATCATATTAAACTTGACATAAAACAGAAAACTGCATAGTTCAATGACTAATAGAACTTGAAAATTTTATGAAAGATTTAGGTTGTGGTGAAAAATTTCCACATAGAAAATATAAATTCCAAAAAAACTTCATTCATTAATGTTTTTAATGATCATTTTTAATTTTTCTTCTTAAGAAAACACTGTTTTAACTTTATTGAAATGAAACAATAGCTTAATACAGGTTTTTTTTGAAATTTATTTTTTCTATGTGGAAATTTTTCACCACAACCTAAATCTTTCATAAAATTTTCAAGTTCTATTAGTCATTGAACTATGCAGTTTTCTGTTTTATGTCAAGTTTAATATGATAAATACGGTAGGCTATTCAAATTCTATATGATATGTACAGTTTTGTCAAAAATTATTAATGATTATAGCAAAGTGGTGAAAAATTTTCACCTCAAACATATTTTTCTCAAATTTTTGTCCTAAAACCAATTAAAGATGAAGACATTTGTGATTCATTTAATACTTTAAACCATTTTCTATCTAATTTAGACAAAACAATTACAGTTTCATGAAAAATAAGAGAAAAAATTAATTTTGAAGAAATTTTCAGTATGACAAAATAAATGAAGGAAAATCTCGTGAAAAACTTAATGGAAAATTCTGGAACTGTCTGCAAACATAGATTTTTGTTGCTTAAATACTTTAAGAATAGAATAAGTACAATAAATAAAGTTTACAGCTCAAAATTTTAATATTTTCAAAGTGCGGCTAAACGAACTTCGCACTTTGTTGTTGTAATTTATAAAAAAATTAATTAATTTAACAAGGCACAACATTTAGCTGACTTCTCTTTACTAATTTTAAACATACTTGGAAACAGCTTTAAAAATAATAAATAGTTGCCATCCTTAAAGTGTTTATAAAAGTGAAAATTGAAGAAATTATGGTGCGGTTAAACGAATGTCGCGCACCTTATTTGGTGTTAAAAAGAAGAACTGGAAATTCAAGTAATTAAAAACGTATAAGAATATTTTCGTGCACAAAAAAATCTAGATTCTTGAATTTCAACATATATTATGATGGTATCCTTGAATGTCTGATGATCTTCAACAGAAGCTGAGTTTCAAAAGAATAGGGAGAAAAAGTAATGAAATTGAAAAGACAAACGAAAAGAAAAATTTCGCTAAGAAGAAAATCTTTTGTATTATTGTGCAAAAAAGCCATCTTTAAAATGACGAATGTCTGAAACATAATACCCAAGTATTGTCTGAGATACAGTAGGATTAAAATAGTGAAATTTTAATGCATGTGGCGACAAATGTCGCTCAAAAATATGATTATAGTTTTGTCATTCTGAAAAACTTACATGAATACTTTTAGCTTGCATGTATCTAATGTGAACTTCAAGATAATCTTACAGGAAGAGATTAATATTTTTTGTAATACACTTTAATTTGAAATTTTTGACTGCTTTGATAAAGAAAATGAATTTGACATTTAAATTGGATTACTTATATTGACTATAATTATGCATCAAATGCATTGCAGAACATCACTTCACTGCAAAATCAATATTTTTATGCAAGTGCAGTAAAACTTAACAAGTTCAAAGAAAAATATCAAAATCCATTCAAGTTCAAGAAGATTCGACATGGTAACTGAAGAAGTTAAGAAAGAACTATTAACAAGAACACAAAAAAAAAATAAATTCGAAGAATAAAAAGAGATGGAAAGAAGCACACTAAGAAGTCAAATAAAAAGAAGAATATTTTGCTGCTGTCTGCACTGCTCAATGCATTTTATAAATTATTGTCACGATTCATTCCCTCTTCCTTCTAACAGTTCTTCGTTGCACTGTTGCTTCTTTCAAATTTTATTCTCTCGATGCATTTCTATTGGAACCAACATCATCACATGGTTAACACATGACTTGAAATTTATAAAAAAAGACGTTTTTAACATCGTTGTAATGTATGTTTTGATAATTGCTTATTGTTGTGAGTCATGTGTGTTTTGTGGAAGCCCAAAAAGTGACTTCTCACTCTTTTATTTCTCTTGTGCTCTCTGCAATCGATAGAGATACTGACTGACTCTCAATTGAGTAACACAAACACTATCAAGCTATCGTGTATGGATATCAAATTATTGTAGACCGGCAATTTTTATTTTCATTCATCATTCAATGACTGTTGATCGAATGATACGTAAGAAATCAATTTTTTCATATACAATAATTAAGGTTATTTTTAGATGTAAACCTAAATAAGTATGAAATAGTCTTTATTCCAATGTTTCGAGTTGTTGTTAAAAAATTAATCATTATTGGATTTTTGTTAAAATTGCTAACGCCTTGAGAAGTTATTAATTATTGTTATCATACTGACATTTCAGCTTGAAATGATTCTAAATCAAGCAAATTTAAAATTAAGTGTGAATAATCACTCAAATTATCATTTTTATACGTGGCAATAATTTTCAGATCATCACTCGTTACTCACAAGATGAATTTGATTTCATCAATCTATTATCACTTGATAATTTGACACTGTTGTGATATTCATGACATAAATTGATCGATGTTTAGATTTATTAAAAATTGCCATCGAATTTCAATGAGGGACCGTTCACTTATTGCGTTCACATTTTAAGGGGGAGGGGGGGTTTGAAAAATTGTAACAAAATGTAACATAGGGGTGGGGGTCAAGAAGTATGTAACGTTCTAACTGTCATCTGTCTTAAAAAAGAGTTCACGAAAGAATTTGTTTACAAATTCATACCAAAAACATTTTTTAAATTTTTCACCTTTTTAATGATAAAATAAATTATGAACGTTCAGGGGGGGTGGGGGGGGGTTGTGAGTTGTAACATATTGTAACAAGGGGGGAGAGGTGAAAAAATCGTTTTTTTGCGTAACGTAATAAGTGAACGGCCCCTGACTAGATTGCTAATTTTCACACAAACTATGTAGACTTCGCGGAAATAACGGAAGATTTTATAAATTTATGTATTAAGTATATATCGTTGCTTATTTTGATGTTTTCTGTTTTCTGAGGACAGTCACTTACGATGTCAATAATTTGGAAAAAGCGATTTTGTGACTGCTCGAAAATTCAATAAATTTTTCTTAACAAAATCAAAAACTTTTAAAAATACAGAGATAGCAATTACGTATAGTCATCACATCATAAACAACACAATAACTTGCGTCAAATTCAATATTATAATCAAATGTTTTATGCGAAAAAAAAATCCAAAACATTTTTATGAGCATTGCTTTAAAGAAATTGGAATAGAAATAATCAAAAAATATGGCAAGAACATTTATTTTTATAATTCCATTAAAATTCCACAAAAATTTCTTTTTCTTAATTGATGCATACGTTATCCGACCAGAAGTCAAAAAAATTTGATAAACATTGGGAAATGAAGAAGTTGAACATTACTGTAAAACAACAGTTCCACTAGCTCTACACACAATATTTCATTTCTGTTTTTACTTCTACATTCTGTGCGTTAATTAATCTTTAATTGTTTGTTGTTTCAATTGGTTTGATATGCTTCGTTCTTTACATTTTCTTTCCATTCATTATGATTCGAAGCAGATCTTTATGGAAGCTGAAAAAATTAAATGCACCGCGTCAATTTAAATTTTTTTAAAATAATTATGGAACGATTTATCGAAGAATTGTATTAAGAACGAAAAAGTATGTCGAATATTTTGTATTGTAGCGATGACTCATATTTGATAAACATTGGTTTGTATTAAATTTATAAAATTACTGAAGATTACTAAGTAATACATTCAGATGAATCTATTACAGTTTATCAAATATGAAAGTCTTGCATGAAAATGAGTCAACAGAAAATCTGAAATTTCCCAAATAAAATTATTTAATCGTAAATAAGTTGTAATCGAATTGATTTTTGGAGTTATTCTATCTTATCAATGAAAAATATACTACACCTTCCAGCAGAGATGGGAATTACAGGATTTTTCCTACTTAGTTCTTATCAAGTATCGTAAAAAAGTGAAATAAAATTGAAAAAATGATTGAGGGTTCGTTCATTAATACGTAACGCATTTAGGCGTTTGACACTGTGCAGCACTTTTGTTAATAAAGGTCACAAAGCCAATAAAAATATGAAAATATTTGAACTTTATTTTTTTCTCAACTCTGTTAATTCCTGTATAAATGAATGAAAAAAAAATTCTACCCATAAAGATTATCAACAGAAGTGAGTGAATTCCACTAGGAACTTAGTATTTGAAAATCATTTTTATTACTCTATCATTTATTTTATAGGTTAATCATAAGATTTAACCTCTAATGAGTTTTATTCAATACCTTTTGCAGTTCACCCCAATACTGAAACTTTATTAAACGCACACTAGTAACTTCTTTGAAGACTGCAGACAGGATTGACGTCAATGATACCTGCAAATTTTTAAAAATGTTTAAAATTCAATCATTTCTAGCATTAGTCATGCAAAGCTTTAGCCACCTGTTTAGCAGTCTAAAACTTGCGTTATCGTTCTTCCGTTATCAAAACAAAATTAATCGACAACTTCAAGTATTTTCATCGCACATCTGCACACTTCAAATTGAGTGTTTTTGACAATAATCATCGGCAATATCAATCAACAGATTAAAAAGTAATTTGAATTGAACTAGTAGCTTGCTTATCAGCGAAAGTAAAAAATTATATCTTGAAGAAATTACGCAATTAATAGCCGGGAAAGTTTTCTTACTTAAGAAGTTAAGCCGCAGTATTTTTAGATCAGGAAAGGGTTTTAAATGAAGATTTGTAGCGACATATCTAAGGCTTTGTTTGATACAATGTGATTGATTACGTAAACAAAATACAAATATCTTATTTGATAAAGTAAAGAAGTTGTTGCTGTTGCCATTTCATATCCATAATAAAAAGAACTCATTATTCAATTGTAAAACCCAAACAAACATTTTTAATTCCAAAATTTTTATAACAAAATTTTTAATAGAAACTCTTCCATGGACTTTGTCTATCAAACGTTAATTCACTATCAATTCCTTCCTTTTCAGACTCCTTGTTCTGCCCAATTCTGAGAATAACTTTTAAAACTCGTACAATTGGTCTTTCTATCATCAAGAAAGTCATACATGAGAACAGTAATACTATCAAAATATCACTGTTGAATGCCTGCAACATCTCAGAAACTCCAAAAAAATAAGGTGTTTTCCATGAAGCAATTGTGACCATTTGAGCACTCAATGAAACAATGTAGATACTGATACTCATTTTTGCAAATGGCATCCAGATTGAAAGTGATAAAAGCCATCTGATCACGCTTCCACTTCCTGTAGCACAGCCAATCACAAACCAGGCGAGACATAAAGCGAAAATATTTCTTGCGAAACCGATGTAAAGATAATTAGCTTCTCTTGATGTATTGTTATCTAAAATTTGGTGGAATGGATATAGAAGATAAATGACTGTGAAAATACCGGAAATTGAAACTATCCAGAAGAAAGCCGAAATGAACTGAAAGGAAAATAAGTGAATATACTTCAAACATTTAAACTTATTGACTTTCTTACCCAATTAATTTTTGCTTTTTCTTTTATCAATCTGTATGAGAGATATCCGCACATAATTCCAATCAACCATGGACCCATTCTAATATGTGTTGAGAAGAAAATCATTCGCATATAATCCATCAAACGGGTCACAGGAATAATATTATTAAACAAAAATGCTTCGAATCCATAATAATAAGATATAGTTGCTGCACATGCAATGGTCAATCCGACTATAATGGTAATTAAGACCAAAATAAATGGTCCCAAGAAGTACAATGGGAATAAAAGAAGCGGTGCAGCCCAGTAAAGTTGCATGTCAATGCTGAAGAAGTAAGTATGAAGTAGACACTGAAAATATACATTTTAAGGATTTAAATCACAAAATTGTTACAGTTACTCACAATTGAATCAGGATTAACATAATTTTGAACATGAAGCATAGCTGACCACCAATATTCCTCACAAGCTGGTATTTGTGCTCCTGTCAAAAACTGATAGTAAGGTCCTTCACTAGAATATGGTGTCAAAGTAAACGAAAAGAAGATCAAAATTCCAATAAATGGAGTAACTCTCATAAATCGCATGATGTATAGTTTCCATATCTTAACATGACCACTCTTATCCATTTTCTTCATAAATAAGTATGCAATGAGTGTTCCATTAACAAAAAGAAGTGCATCAACGCCAAATTGTGAGCCAAATACCCACGGAGCAAAATAGCTTTCGGTAAACTTTTTAAAAGAAGAAAATAATCAATTTTTAATTGGATATTAGCAAAAATATTAAAAACTCACATCTAAAATAAAATCAACAGGATTGATGAGCGGAAGAATTAAAGGCAAAATAAAGCGATAACCGAGCATTAGCCAGATAAGAGCTAAAGCTCGCAATCCATATAGACATTGCATATTGTTATCTTTCTTCTGCCTCATACTGAAAAGATATTTTCCATTTGAATACAAGGACATTGCAGCTGTCGTTTCGCTAACATCCATATCAAGCTTTAAGCAAACGACTTCATATATTGTTGATATTGCAACCCCAACAAAACCTATGAGCATCAAAGATCTAAACAAGAATTTTAAGAGATTTGTTGATAAGATAAGATAAGATTAATAATTCTAAAATCCAAAGACCAAGGTTGAATTTCTTACATGGCACCCCATTCCATTGGTCCAAGAGGTGGATTTTCCGCGACATTTGTAAATGCTTCCAAGTTATTAACTGTAAATTGAGTTGGTCCAAGTCCGAGATACCAGGTGATTAGTCTTGTTATTGTTAAAACTAGATCATTAGGGCAAATTTTTGGTACACAAATTCCCATTTCGATGAAAAGAGGTAGATTCTCTGGGATTAAGGATCCACTGGAATAATTAAATTTTAAATTAAGACTTCAAAGGATTCTTGGTAAAGATTAGAAATACTTACATATCTAGAATTGTATCATTTGGCAATACAAATTGTAAAAATGGTGGAAGTGACTCAAAATCGAATGATCCATTAATGTATTTTCCAATTTGAAGTTCAACATGTTTGCCATAAAAGTCACCACCAGCATATTCATTAGTAATCGGTGCGTGAAGATTGATGCACTGTGTGAAATGTCCCGGATTTCTGATATTTCCTCTTGCAAATCCAGATTGGATTTTTGCCCAAGAATCAACCATGAAAATTGGCCAGAGTGCACCGTGACAAAATTGCTGAATAAATTCCAGTGATTGGACCAGACAAAAGATATTTTCATTATCCTCTTCCTCTTCTTGAAATAATAGTGGGTATGTATTCGGTGCTGGTGGTCCTTGATCCTCGGGAAAAAAGGAACAAATCGTTGTAATGATGTTGCTTGTTGTTATATTTGAGAGAGCCGTGCCTATTTCCGCATATTTTCTCACAATATTTTCATATTCTCCTTCTTGAATCAATTTAAACAATTGGAAATTTGTATCCCAATTTGCTGAAGCCGCACCAATTAAAACACAAAATAATGCACAAACTATAGCTGCCTTCATTTTTCTCCACTTTGCACTTGTTATCACTTTAACGGTTGACAAAGGAGTGTAGAAAAAAATAAAAGCAGTTGAATCCTACGACTAAGTCCTCTAATGCAACGGTATCGAAATATTTGAAGATAAGACATAATTTAATTTGATAAGATTTTCCTCTTATTATTATAAAAATTGTTTGATTTTTATCAAAAGTATATTTTTTTCGATTGATAAGATTGACATAATACCACGTGTCATTTTTATATTTTATTCTAAGTTGTTACAAACTTGATCTTAGCTTTAAAATATCTTTCGTCAAAGCCCTTAAGTATTATTAGCATATTTACTGTTAAATAGTTCCTTTGTTGCAAAATCATTATTTTTCCATGCGACAATCGATGATTATCAGTCAAAAAAAGAAGAATCAATTAATCATTTTATTTAAAACATTTACATTTTAATTTATCTTTAAAAATTGATTAATCATAATTACATCAATGGCTATTCTAGAGTTATTCAAATCTACCAGTGTGATAGTAAGGTCTCTGGAGCTGAAAGATTAAAAAAAACTTGAAATTTGGAAAACTTGTTTTCTAGAAAAGGGAAATATAATGTGACGGAGAGGGAGGGGGGGGGTAGGTAGAAAAACAATATTCCCATCTCAAACAAGCGTAATTTTAAAAAGAAATTTTCATTATTTTAAAAAAAAATGTCACAACACACTTATGATTTTTAGCATAATATTAGTACACAGTGGCACATATTTTAAACAGTCACAGATTGCATGATTACAAATTCAAAACAAACACGAAAAATGTCCGAAAATTTTACAGATTTTTTTTGTTTCACAATTGAATAATTTTTATTTCCACATTTTAATGAGTAAATTTGTTCTTCTAATTTTTCTTATGGATATGTGTATGTGTCTTTAAGTATGAATGTGAAAAAGTTTAAAGTATCGAATAGTCATTTCTGTATTGTCGTGCAAGTAACATTGGCTTTTTATTTCCACAAAAAATGAACAAATTGTTATCAGTTTTAGGGCAAGCCCTCATAATTTTGATACAAGAAATTGTGTCTGGATTATTTGGGTTTCTGTTTCGCGTTAAGAAATCACCAAAAAATGTCAGTGGACAATTAGCTTTGGTAACAGGTGAATAAAAAGTTTGCAAATTTAAAAGACAATTGTAGCAACTTTTTAATTTTCTAAATCAGGAGGCGCAAGAGGCTTAGGAAAAGCTATAGCAATCAGACTAGCTCAAGAAGGTTGTAATCTTGCAATCTGTGATGTAAATATAGAAGAAGCACAAAAAACTAGTGAAGAAATAAGATCAAAATTTAAAATAGAATGTATAGCTTTTAAGGCTGATGTCTCAGACACTCAACAAGTTGCGACTCTTTACAATGAAATTGGTGAAAAAATGGGAACAGTTGATATTTTGGTAAGCGCACTTGATCAATTAAATCAATCGTATTTACGGGAATTAACTTTTCAACTTGTGTGAACGAGGATAATTTTCAATTTAATATTTTAACAGTTTGAACTTGATTAATTTTAAGGTAAACAATGCAGGCATTTTGGCACCACTTGGAGTTCTTGAAGGAGAAGATTCAGACATAACTAGAGTCTTAAACATAAATCTGACATCACATTTTTGGGTAATTAGTAACAATAGTTGTTAATGGTGATAGATAATGGATGCTAATTATTCAAATTTTAAGATGGTGAGAAAATTTTTACCATCGATGATTGAACAGAAGCGAGGTCAAATTTTGGGTATCTGTTCTGCTGCTGGAAAATCATCGATTCCATTTGCCGCATCGTACTGTGCTAGTAAATTTGGAGTTGACGGGTTTTACCGGTATGACGTGGTTTTAAAATATTTACAATTACAAAATATCGCATTAAGATGCTTTCCATCCGCAAGCAATGTAAATTTTGTGTTTGTGTAATATTAACCTTTGATATCTCCTCAGTGCACTTTTTGACGATATGTGTTTGTATGAGTATAATGACTTTATCAAAATCACTTGCGCCTTTCCTGGATTCATCAACACACGAAATGATCTTGAAAATTTATTGGATGAAACAAACGAATATATTCCGAGAGTTCAACCTGACTATGCAGCTGAGAAAATAGTTGAAGCAATGCTTTTGGAAAAACAAGAAATTTTATTTCCATTTTCTTATCGAATTTCGACAATAATGGAGTGAGTCATAGGATAATTTTGAAGATTAATACAAAAGATATTAAATGTTTATTTTTTATAGATACTTAGTTCCGTTGAAAACTCGAATATTTATGAAGCGAGAAGCTTGCAAACAAGGCTCAGGACTTCTTGAAAAAAGGATAAATGTTACAAGAAAGTGATGAAGGAAAAAGGAAAAAATTAATGATATTTGAATTGCATTGTGATTGTTTAAGGCTTAAGCATTGCTGCATATTTTAATAATTTTCGGTGTCAGCTTAACTTATAATTATGAACTAAGGTTTTTTTTGTTGAATTAAATAAAACTTATCATTGAAAGCAATAAACTATCAAGATTTGTTTTAAAATTAACAAGATCAAAAAATTGTAAAATTCTTAAAAAGTTTAAATCTAGCAGATCATAAAATTTATTTTTATTTTAAATCGCACACACACAGCGTAATCCATAGCGACATCTGTTAGCTACCACCAACATTTCATAACATTCAAAAAATTAAAATAAAAATGCACAAAAAATTTTAATTTCAAGGAGTTTTTAAGGACAAACAAAAAACTTACAAACATCTATTTTAATAATCTTAAATCTGTAAGCTGTTTTTAAACAAATCTACAAGACACAACATTTTACGTTTTTTGCAGCTCTTCTGCAAAAATTTTTTTTTTAAGTTTTAAAGCAAAACAGGTTTAGAATTTGTTAATAACACGAGGAACTTTTGTTTTGCAAGTCAGTCGATTGTGAATAAAGGAACCGTCAGTATCAGTTCAATTTTTAAGGGATTAAAAATGAATAAAGCGCTATCAGTTTTCTTTCGAGCTTTTGTTATTTTGTTGGGAGAAATTTTCACTGCATTATTTCGTTTTATGCTTTGCATAAGAAAAGGACGTAAAAATATCAAAGGAGAATTAGCATTAGTGACTGGTAAATTCAGAAAACTTTCGAATTTTTAAACAAATTTTAGCAATTATTAAATTTTCAAATCAGGCAGCGCAAGAGGCTTAGGAAAAGCTATAGCAATCAGACTAGCTCAAGAAGGTTGCAATCTTGCAATCTGTGATGTAAATATAGAAGAAGCACAAAAAACTAGTGAAGAACTACGATCAAAATTTAAAATAGAATGTAAAGCTTTTAAGGCTGATGTCTCAGATACTCAACAAGTTACAACTCTTTATAATGATATTGCTAAAACAATGGGAACAGTTGATATTTTGGTATGTGCTTAAAAACTAGTTAAGTCAACAAAAAAAATTATTTACCTTCCTGCATGTGAATCAAATTAGCAGTAATCCTATTCATTTAAGTTTCAATCAAATTTGTCAATAATTAAATATTGTCAAATCTCAGATGCTAATTGCAATTGCTACGTTACGTCAGTGATTAACCTTTGATACTTAAATAATTTTCAGGTGAATAATGCTGGCATTTTGGCACCGCTTGGAATTCTTGAAGGAGAAGATTCAGATGTATTTAGAGTCTTAAATGTGAACTTGGTATCACACTTCTGGGTAATTATTTAATTGTATAGAGTAATGCACTATTTCTTGTGCTCAAACTGAACTTTACTTGATATCAAAATTTTCAGATGGTAAGGAAATTTTTACCATCTATGATTGAGCAGAAGCGAGGTCATATTTTAGGTATCTGTTCTTCTGCTGGGAGACATACTCTTCCACTTAGTGTAGCTTATTGTGCCAGTAAGTTTGGAACAACTGGATTCTATCGGTATGTTGAAAAGTTTATCTTGGAATGTATAATTAATAGTGTATTTCTACTTTACAGCTCATTGTATGCTGATCTTTGCATGTATGAATACAATAAGTTCATTAAGGTAACAAGTGCATATCCTGGTTTTATCAATACGCGAAATGATTTAGAAAAGTTCTTGGATGACACAAGTGAACTTATTCCAAGAATTGAACCTGATTATGCTGCAGAAAAAATAGTCAATGCGATGCTTTTTGAGAAACAAGAAATTTTCTTTCCATTCTTCTATCGTTTTAGTGCAGTTTTTGAGTAAGTTTAATTGATTAAATTTGTTTTCAGTTGCGAAACGAAAATTACGCATTGTTAAGGACTACGCAAATGCTCCTAAAATGAAGATTAACACAATTTTTATTTATAGGCGAATTTCACCACCTAAAACATTGCGTTTTGTAAGAGAAATGCTTTCCAAGCAAGCTACTGGTCTTATTGAAGATAGAGTCAGTATAACTAGAAAATAATCGTGAAAGATTTTATGCATCATTCATTTGAGTATTAATGAACTTGCTTATTATCTGAAATAGGGACTTTAGGATGTTATGGAACGTTGAAAATATAATTAAATTCTCCCCAGAAGTAGCAAAATGTGTTTCTCCAATCAAAACGTTACGTAAATTCCAACCAGCTGTAAAAAACTAATTAATAATCATCAAAAAGACAATAGTTGTTTAATTTGAACAACGCATTTTGATTCTGTTCTTTTAATTTTCAGACACAATAATAAATGGTAATCTGTTGTCATGTTAATTTTATAAAATATTTACTGTTCTTAATTAATTACATTAACATTCAGAAGAAGCAGCGGGAGCTATAGCTTTTTGCTAAAATCTTGTAAATGAGTAATTGACCTAATCGAAAAATTTCTGAACAGCTGTTTCCATAATGTCTATTTGATCTAAGTCAACTCCAAACTATTTCAAGTCCTTCCTTCAGAGCAACTTAGCTGTTTAAAAATTCAAATTTCGAGCACACAATAGTAACAAGAGCGACATCTGTAAACAGACACAAAGTTTCCCATTAAAGTCAAAAATTATGAAACAAAACAATAATTGGAGTCAGAGTGAAAGTAAACTTTGTGCGATTAAGAAGTATGTGCATTACATTTTTGTATACACGTGATGTTGACTCATCTAGTAACTATAAGTTAATATTAATAAACAATCGTGATGAGTTTTATGCACGTAAAACATTAAAAGCAAAGGTGAAAATTGATGAAGGTTTAATTCAGATTTTTGGGACTGATGTAGAAGGTTTGATTCATGGAACATGGCTGGCCATATCCAAAAAGAATGGTGTAATTAAGATAGGAAACTTGTTAAATTTACCCGGCGAAAAAGTTTTACGTAAGAAGACTGAACTTCAAGGTCGTGGACCAATTGCATTGGATTTTATACGAGGAACGGATGCGATCGAAGTTCACAATAAGAAATTATGTGACGTGTCTACAAACTATAATAGCTTTAACTTCTTATCAGTTGAGATAACAACAGAGTATATCAAAACACTCTTCACAAATAATGCTACTCAATCATATGTTGAATTAAAGCCTGGAGTTGCAGGGGTGTCTAATTCCCCAATCAGCACACCATTAAAGAAAGTTGTAGCTGGAGAGAAGAAATTTCATGAAATAATTCAGGACTATGAGGCTAAAAATAAGGACTTATTTATCGATCAACTTATGAATCTCTTGAAATGGAGTCAAAAGCATTATCCAGACGATGAACTCTTGAGGAGACGAGGCAAAGAAGCAGAATTCTTTTCTAGTATTCATGTAAGTGGACATGACCTTTACGGAAGTAGAACTCGTACTATTATATTAGTAGATAAATTTGATAACATTGACTACATAGAAGAAACGATTACAAATTTCGATGACCCCGATAATCCTATATGGGAAAGAACTCGTTTTTTAATTGAAGACGATTCAGTTATTCAGTGTTCATGATGGCATGTTAAAGTCGATCCAATTATGTTTATTTATTATTTTTATTTTGTTATGAAACATTTTCAAATAAAGCATTTATATAAGCTATGTTATAAATAGGGATGGACCTATCAGAGAAAATTTCAAAATTAGGTGCTCATTTCATTAAGTATGTCTAAGTTTATAAGATGTACTTCGTTCATTGTAGGTTTTCCCACTTAACTAGTGATGCCTAGTTAAAATAAGTAGTAAACTAGTTCTGTTAAAACAGTTGATAGAAATAAGACATTTTGAGCGTGTTTAGATCAGTGCTTTTGAAGCTTTGCTCTGCAACAATACAAATTTAAACTAGATAAGTAGTTTGCTGTATCCTTAATACTTCAGACTCGTGTAAATCCAAATTATTTCCCTTGAAATTTCTTTCCGATATGTCCAAACCTACCTTAATATTATTCAAAGCTATTCACTTTTTATCCGTGCGTTTCTAGAGCCGAAACTCGTTTACTTTTGCGTTCACATTTCGGACAAGGTATTGCTGGATTAAAGCAATTAATATGAGATATTGTTCCACAAGCATTGCATCTCATTGTCTCGTCGACATCAAATGGATAAATAATCTTTGATCGTCGACAATATTCACAAATAAAGCCTTTGACGCTACATAATACGCACTTTAAGCAATGCTCTCGACCAAAAGTAACGACTCTATTAAGCATATCTTGTAGTGCACCATTTTGATTAATTAAATAGAGATCGGAGACGGAATAAAGGTGAATAGATTCATAGATGTATTCTTTGCCGTACAGAAGTTTTTGTAATTCACCAATTGTACTTTCTGAGCAAGTAAATATATAAGCACGAATAAAGTTAAGCTGTATTCTTAGTTTTTGTAGATTATTCATTTCATCAATATATGAGTAAATATCAGGATTGAGAATCTAAAAGGATATAAGATTGATAAATTAGTCAAATGTTGTCAAGCAACAAATAGAGAATAAGAAAGATGAATGTACCTTAAAGTCAATAAATGGTTTGAATTGGTAATTCGAAATAAAATCTGCAGCCTTTTTGCTTACATTGTATTGCGTAAAGTCCCAATTATATATTATTTTAGACGGTATGGCATATTTGTCTTTTGATATACATGCAGAACAATAATAATGTCCATCGAAAGCACAAACCGTTGCTTTGGAAATATCAACTAGTGGCGATTTGCATTCCTTACACATAAATCCCTGTTGATCAAGACCTGATTCTGTCGATAATCTACAAAGTACTTCAACCATATGCTCAAGCTCGTTCATTTTTAAATTTTGAGGCATTACAACTTCAAAATCATCCGGAAAATCTTCATTTTCTTCTGGAATGTTGAGTTTTTGGATATTGGTGATATTAATGGTTTTCTGGAATTTATTCCAGACATCACGAAAGTTTTCAGAGCTCTTTCTCTGCTTCTCATCCCACAATGACTCAAAGCTGTGATTATCAATTGCTGAATACGACAAGGCTGATCGTCTATAGACAATTTCGGCAGGTCCATTATCCTGTGCATTATCCTCTTCAACTTCTTTGGCATCACTTTTTGTTGCAACAGGTTCAGACCAAGAGCTTCGATTATTAATTAACGAATTTCCAATAATATTCTCAGGTGTTGCTTCATCTTGACTTTCCTGCATTTTTTCAACATCAATGGGCAATGTTAAGCTCTTATTATTTTCAGTCAATACATCTTCATCCACTGATTCACACATTCTCTCTGACACATCAACTGTTGCATCATCACCACTATCAGTTCGAGTTAAAAATTTTGAAATCCCTTCATCTTCACCATATCCTAAAACTGAATTAGGCGAATCACTAAAAATAGAATTTGAAATGGACGCTGTGTATATATCCGATAAGACGCTACATCTTTGTGGTGGAATGTCTATATTTCGTGATGTTGTTGATATCATTAATCCTGCTACATCTTCTCCGACTAGAAATGGGAGATTTTTAAGAGCCACAGCATATATCCCAGAAAGTTGTAATGGTGCATCATTCCAGACATTCAATAATGAGGAGTTGCATGGCAAGTCAAACACAACATAACTTTCGATTCCTCTCAATAAACCTTCAGCTGTGTCAGTTAATTCTGCATCGAAAAAGAATGCGTAAGGATGATAATAACTTTTTAATGTCGATGGACTTTTTCTAATATTCTGCAGATATGAACTAATTAATGACTCATTGAAGGCTTTCCTAATGAATGCTCTGCAATAGCCAATTTCAGTTGACAATTGTGACAAGCTCTGAATATCCTTAATGTCTTGTTTGTGCAAGAATTTTGACACGAAGCTCCAAAATGTTGGATTTGGCTTTTGAGTTTCATCGCTACCAAAATTCGATAAAATTTGCAAAAATGACTCTTTTAATCCATGTAAGAAAATAGCTTCGAGTGTAAAGCAGAGAGTCGAAGTTGATTCACAGAATCCGAGAGGTTCTGGGAAAATTCAAATAAATTATTCACTGCATGTGATTTAATCATTTAGAATTACCATTATTTCGAGTTTTATATTCATATTCGTTTTCCTTTACATTCTCACTGAGATGATAACTCAAGGTTTCCCTAATATATTTTTGTCTGAATGTTGTATGAAATTAATAAAATGTATTACACATTAAATTTTCCAACTTTTCTTTGTTCTTAAACTTACTTTTCCTCAAAATATTTGTTTTCCTTATCCTTTAGAAACTTATTCATTTGTCTTTCAGTTCCGCAGGTTGCGTGTCATGTTTGTAAAACTTAAATTATTGGTTTCAAGAGAATTCTCTAATTTTGGAAACTTTATCAATAAATTTACATCAGCAAAAGCGTATTTTGTTTACGATTTTAGTTCGCAGACTTCATAAAAGAGGCGCTGTGCCTGATTATTGCTGCTGATCCAATAAACAGAAGAAAGTATCATTTTTCAACGTATTTGAAAATTTCAAAAACTTAATATGAACAAAACTTTTATTCGATCCTTTTGTTTATAACGGAAATTTGTTTTGATAAATTCTTGATTTAATAAAAATTTAATTAAAATGGATTTAACAGTCTCGTTAGATGCTAGAGAAGTATTATTCCACCTCAATTACATGGGATACCGAAATGTGACAAAAGAACAATTAAAAAGCTTCATGATTGGTGAGAAATCCTTGAATTTAAAAAATTTCAATTGAAAATCACGACAAGACCTTGCAATTATGTTGATTAACATTTTAGATTTAAAGAAACTGATAAGGTTTGATTCACAACCGCAAAAGTCCACAACTGAAGTAAATTTTCAAGCTGGTCCACATTCAGTTAACATCCAGAGATTATTTGAAAGTCACACAGAAACTTCTAAACTTAAACAACGTGAGAAAATAACAGACAAAAATAATAAGCAGATACCGAACAAGGCCAAAGATCATGTCTGTAAACATAAACAGCATTTGACACGGGAAAAAACCTCTAGTGAAATTGAAAAGAGATCAACAAAATCTAAAGACATTCCTAAGAAAGTCAGTGAATCTGACAGCCATGACAAGGAAAACATTCCGAAACATGAGAACAATCAAGTAAGAGACAACAACAATTGCCAACCTTCAGAAAAAGAACCATCAAAGTCCAAAATGTGGATCCGACCAAAGTCAGCACAAAGCACTCGTCAAATCAATCCAAAGAAGAGAAATGATCCTGTTGCACTTTATCAGGTAGACTTATAAGATTTCTATATTAAAATATATACTTAAAATAATAAATTTCCAGGAGTATCAAAAAGACTGGCAAAAGTTCCGCAGTAATATCTGTGAATCGTCGAGATCTGAGCTGCGCTGGACAATTCGAGAAAAAATGCTAACAAATCATTAGCTTTTTATGCTTAGCCTCGGATTAGCTAGTTTATGAAAAACTATTTTTTTAAAATATGTGTAGTGGATTGAAGCTCTGGATTTCTTACTGAAATCTAAACCAAAATGACAAATGGTTCAATTTTTTGAATCATGAAATAAGTAATTCATGTTAAATCTAGAATAAGATATAAATCGCATTGACAACGAAATTCAACATTTCCTGTATCCAATTGCTTGACTTCTTGTTAAGTATACAATCGCTTCTGTCAAGTAAATTCCTTAGCTGAAATTTCCTGCTGAGCTACGTTTGAATCGTGTGAGATTCATAACGTTTAAAACAAATATTTAAATACTGCATGCACCTAGGGAGGAAGACTTTAAGGAAGGTGGGACGAAGAGCCGAAGATCTGGCGCGAAAGACATAAAGGAACAAGTGGTCGAGGAGAGAACATCGAAGAAGAATTAAGCCATATAATTAATAAAAAGTGCATGAAATAAATATACTTCAAGAGAGAAAGAATTGTAAGAATTGATATTAAATATGTATATAGAGATGAATAATTTATTGTGAATGTCTTAAAACAGATTTGAACTACTACGGAAGGCTGAATAAATTAGAAGAAAATTTGGAAGGAATCAACTGATTTTTCATTTCCACAATCTATAATTTACAGCTAGTTCAAGTAAGTCTCATATCAAATTTCAGCACAAAGATAGGGTAAAGCTAGATTTACCGCACAGCTTCAAAGTCAAGTAAAAGCTTTAATATTTGAGATTCTCAAATTGAGAATGAACCATAGAAAGTTTACTTTTTTACAATAATATCTATAATTCACCTACTTTTAAGTGCCATCATCCACTAAAACAATTTCGTCTGTGTCCGTTCTTATTATAAGAGTGCCTTTTTTTCATTCCTATAAAAATCTATTAAAATATCAACTTATTGAGATTATTCTCGCAAATGAAAAATCTGCTTTTATTGTTCAATTATTTTTAAGATTCCATTTTTTTTAGTACAAAAACATTTTAATAATAAAAAATACAGAATAGAGAAGTAAGTGAATTATTGCTGAACTTAAATATATCTTCATTTTGTCTATTAAAATAATTGGACAAGCTCATTATTCTTAACTTAAAGGAAACAGAAAAAAAAATTCTAAATACATTATCACTATTCATTTTGAAACATTGAACTATTAGCAAATTTCTAGTTTTTTTTTTGTAGTTAAATTCTCCATCAAATTCAATTCTAATAACATCTTTCAAAAACAGAAAAAGTCTTTCATTTAATTTAATTGATCTCACAAAACACGATCTTCGCCATATATATCAAAATATATCTTTATTCCTTTATTCATGATGCTTATCACTCAAAAACGTCATTCATGAAAAATGCTACGAAAAAGAACTCAAAAACTTTTTTAAATTAATTCTTTTGTCTAATACATACTTTCACTAATTTCTTCTTCATACGAATTGAATTTTCACATTTATTCATGTATAATTTTTTATTATGTATTATTTAACATTAGCACTATATTATTAATATTATGTGCAAGTGAATGAGGTGATTAGTAATTTCATCAGTTTCAATTTAATTACTTTTATTTATTCGTTTTAACTATGTATATACAGCACTATTGAAACGTTTCCTTCACATTGGCTGAATATTGTATTATGTGAATATGAGAATTGATGCGGAATCAAGACTGTTTTTTGGACACTTACTTGAAGAGGAATTGGTTGAACTCAGCATTCAAGCAGCACAATAAAAGGAATTTCTATTGTTCTTTTCTTGCTGACCCCCCCCTTTGTTGTATGAAACACGGCAAGTTTTTTAGGAGTTTCTCTAGAATTAAAAATTCAAACCTCCCTTTTTCCATCACAATAATTCAACAAGTGTCCATAAGCCTCAATTATCAATTTCCTTCTCTTTTCGATGAGATAAATTTGTTAAAAAAATCCTATTTTTGTTCTTCAGTTTCTTGTTAGTAACGTGATGCTTGTGTATAAGAGTTAATGTGATGTAATAATACTTAACAAAAGAAAAGCTTATGTCCGTCGGTGAAAATCATTACTATTTACAACGTTTCAATGAACAAAAATACTGTGTGACTAAATTATTATCATTACTTTGTTTTGTATTTTGCTTCATATATTCTATCAACTTAAACTTCGAGCTGCTTTGATAAATTTGATCCTGGTGGCAAGTTTGAAAATGGTTCAGTCCACATTCGCCTGAGATCTCCTTTCAGATAAGCCATTGTAAGGAGTGGAAGTAATGTAAATGGAACGAGATATAAAAGTGCTGGTTGAGCCTGTTTAAACACCTCTGAACTTACAGTTGCCGTCAGCAGACCCAGGAAATACCTAAAATTATTGATTGGATATAATATTTTTTAAATCACATTGAATTGAGACTATAAAAGGCTCAAACTCGCTATAAATTGATCATTACTTAAAATACTTTACTCACCCTAGTAAGGAACAATGAAAATACGTAATTTTTGAGCCTAATATTGATCTTGGTGGTGGCACTCCAGCTTCTGCTGTCATCGTGTTCTGTGACTTTTTATATGAATCATATCGAAGAACGAAACATAAAAGTAAGCCAGGCATCACAATGTCTCCTAGACCGAGCATCGAAAAATGTCCACTATTGTGCATACTTGGAAATACAAGCTTGCCAGGTAAATTTAATTTTGGTGGCTCTCGAACTAATCCGCTTAAATTTAACTTTCTTGCAACGAGCCCAACGGGATTCTTAATATAAACATGAGAAATCACATATAAATATTTAATTAATCAGTCTATAATAAAATCCAATAAATATAATCAAAGTGAAAATTTTATTACCTCTGCCGGTCTTGTTGCTACTTTAACCATAACGTTAGTTGAGAAAATATACGATGAGAAAAATACCCAAAAGACATCGTAAATTAATAGTCCAGTGAGTAAAAGTGTAGATACCTTTAAGCTAGGTAGTCGTACAAAAGCGATAAATGCAACACATAATGCAATTCCCATTGCGTCCATCAATAGCCAATGACCAGTTAATACCCAAATACACACCACAGTTAGTGATAATGTAAAACTAAATAATTCAGCTGTCGTAAATCGTCCACATATGCCAAACGATATTCTATTTCCGTCAGAGCAAGGTCGCATAATGTATTGACACATGGGCAGTAGAAGAAATGCAAGTGCAATTGTCGCAATAACTAAAATTATATGTGATTGGAAAGAAATAATTATTATTCAATAACTCATTTATGGGAATCGGAAACATTAACAATTGGACGAGAACTTACTTGCCGTACATACTGCAAACAACATTTGCATTGAGTCAAAGAAGAAAAACATCACAAGTAATGAGATTGATGCACCGAGTGGGAGACATAGTGCATGTGTTGCATCAAGCGTCGCAAATCCAGAATCTACTAATAACGAAGGAAATAAAAATGGGAAATAATTACTAGATTGAATACAAAATTTATATTTATTAAACAGACATACTTTGCTCTTGGCTTATAGGCTCGCCTGTTAATAAATTATTGGAACTTTCACTTTGTCGTTTCTTCTCTTTTTCGCGTGCCTCTTGTTCCATGTTTAGACTACGAAAACTTCCGTACACTATAAGTAAGATGGATATTAAGCACGTTGAAACGCGCGATCCAAATAATTCCACAGCCATCATTTGTAAGCCGGAGAATATAACTCTTTAGTTATTTGATATATATATATATGTATGTCCTCCTTCCGTCTTTCTCTTTCTCCTTCCTCTTTTCGTCTCCTTTGCTTTGATTTTTTTTTGTGTTAAGTCTTTTTCTTCCTCCTATTCCTTTCTGTTTGCTCTCCTTTATTTGACTTTACGCAACCAACAAAACACACTATAAATAATAATAAGATCACGAATATAGTGAAAATATTTTCAATTGGGATTATTTTCTGCTTAAATTGTCACTACTTTTTATGGATGTAGCGTATTTTCATGATGCTTTGCCGATCAATTGTTCAAAGAGGGAGGGGGAGCCAATCAAGATTAATGCTGCATTTTGATTTAGCTTTTAGCAGCAATTTTTTTAAAGCTTTTCAGTCATGAACCTTAATTATTGTCTAACATTTAATTAACATCAGTCAGATGTTAAGTGTGTGCAAAATTCATTATCAGCAATCGATAAACCACTTAAGTTGATGTGAATTGCATACTAATTGCTAGTCCTTGCCATTTGTTGTTCCGCTCGACTACGCTTAATAGAGTGTATTGGGCTGAACATTTTATAAGAAAATTCAATTTTTTGGTGATTTATTAGACATCAGCACTAGGAGTTCAAGGATGTATTTGGAGTAAAGTTCTTAAATTTGAGATTGATCCTAAAATTCAAATCTAGTCCTCAAATCTTAAAAATCACTCAAGCTTTACTAGAATGGCTCTAAAGTGACAATATAAGCACCAATGTATCATAAAATAATGTTTAAAAAATCAGCTCAAAAAATAACTTACCTTTATTAAGATATAAAAATCATGATCAGCACATAGAATAATCAAGTTCAGTTTGAATTCTTTTCAATCTACAATTTTTTGTTGATTCCAACGCGATAAAATCTAATAAATTAAAGTCTTACAGAGAAGATGCAATAACAAAAATCTCTCGAATTCGATTTTTTTTTTTGTTCTGTTAGTGATGCAATGAAGATGATGATGCTGATGTATAGTATTGTAATAAACAGAAATCAGTGTTTAAAGTAGTTAAATCACAGTTAAACAATTAGAAAAAAAATGATTTTTTTCACGTCTCGAAGTGCGGGTGAATGAAAGGGGGATGAAGCGAGAAGAAATTCCTTATCAGCAACTCTAGTCCGTATCAATGTTTGCAATGTTTGCTTTCTTAATTAGTGATGTAAATTTATGATTTAATTGTTCATTTTTGAGATTTCTTTTAATGCTGTTACTTCCTTCTTGTCACTTTACTATTTACTTTAGTCTTCTTTGCAATCGCGTACGATGAATAGCTTCAATTGTTGTTGACTGTAGAAGAGACACAAAAACATTAAAGAGACATGAAAAAAAGTCGTATAATATATTATCATCATTACAATTCATAAGCCTCACACTTCACTCTTTAATAATTTTTTTTGAATGATCGTCTGAGACTTTATTATGTCATTCTGAACACTATTAGTAATTTAAGCTACATATGAGCACTTGAAGAATCATTGTCAAGGAAACTTTACTTTTTCTTTATGAAAAACAACTCGCTTGTTTTAAAAAAATAAAAAGTGTAATTGTTTTGTGTTCTGTCAAGTGCAACAGTGGAAGCAGCGTGGAAAAGAATTATGGTGGAATGTTTATGAATGATTTGAGGGTGTGACGCATGTTGTGGTAATTCTGCTATGTTAAATCTAGTTTGATTCAGTGATTCAGTCTTAAACTTGACCGCAAAATTTCAGGATAATTTCGCTTAATTTTTAACCATTTTAATCATTTGGTCAGAAATAAGATTTGTGTTGAATCACTCCGCAATAATAATAATAATGTAGAACGAACTTTACATCATGTATACTGATGAAGTTGGTATCTTGATTACTCAAACTCGCAAATCACGTATCACAATTTAATAATTTTTAACAGAAGCATAAAAACCAATCATTTTTGACATTTACTTCATTTCGACCATGTTGAAAAAAATCTTTAACAAATTCAGTCGAGTACACTAAAGTCGATTTTTGAACATGAAAGACACTGAAAAGAAGCCATATGAAATATTAGAATATCTCTTGTCTCAGACTTAATTCAATGTCATAAACATTTTACTTCAACACATGGCTTCTTGGATTAATAAAAGAGAAAAATATGTGCTTGAAATAAACCTGACCTAGTATAAAATTGGTATAAACTTCTCAAATGAAGAGTTGAGTTTCGTTTTAAAATTGCAGCACTTATGTCCGAGATTGGACTCTGCATCGAAATAATTATGCATATTCTACTTTAGGATAGAGCAAATTCAAAAGTTGTCAATGGATACAACTCTATTAAATCATCCATTAATCCGTAAAATCTTTCAAAAACCATAAAACACAAGAATAAGAAAGTCATCAAACATTTTATGATAAACTTTTTGTGATGAACCTCCTTGAACTTTTAATGTTTTGTATCTTCATCAATTCTCAATCATTCTGGTTTCACAACAAAATTTCCAAAAAGCATCCACAAAAACACATTTCCATAGTGAATTGCTATAAATATGAAATGAATGGAAAAAGCAAGAAAATATAATCAAAGAAGAAACACCCGCTGGTAGGTGACAATTTTTAATGAAGTTCATAAAGTGTAGCTCGACGTTTGTCGCGAATAAATTTTTATGCTGCTGCTTTTTTTTGTGTTTAAAAAGCGCTACCGGTGTCGTTTTTATCTATTTGCAGGATATTCTGTGCTAAATTTATTCATACTTTATATTTTGTAACAGAATCATCTAAGTAGATAATCTTAATTTTCGGGAAATGCGCTTAGTTTTGGATTTAAATGAATAATTTCACAATATTTTAATTAAATGCAAAGCCACACAACATTAAATGAGACTTTGACAAGCTAAATAGAAACGACAATTAATCAATAAATGTGAAAATCATTTAACAAGAAAGAAAATCTATTTTTTGAATATTCTCACGAATTTCTCAAGTTTATTTATTTTTTGAGATATTAGCTAGTCAAGTCAGTAAATTTATACAGCTTATTCCACAAATGATGTCTTCTTTTAAAAATATCCAGCTTTGCTCTTAATTTTCATACAGCTTCACAAGCTACGTCTTAAGTAAATGACCCCCAAAATATATTATATGCACAAAAATCGAAAATAAAGTCATTATCACAATGATTATGATCATTTATGTGATTCAAGTGTGGCAATCTCATTTCAAGTACAACGAACGATCAACTCTAAACTCAAATTAATGGGTACTCTTCCATCTAAATTTTTATGTCACGATGAGCAAATCTTCCACCAAGCAATGGAAAAAAAAAACTGTTTACTGTATTTTTAATAGCGATAATTTGCATTACAAATCTGTGAAAAAATGAGCATTACTATTTTTATTTTCATTACGCATATTTTTTTTTTTTTTTTGAAAACATTAAACTTGAATTTTTTCTGTACATTGAAATTATATCTTTTGTATTCATTCCTGATGATTTCATGAACTGAATCTTTTTTTTCGCCATGCAGATTTAAAGTTTGAATTTTTTTCTGCTCATTTATTTGGGCACTGAGTTTAAATTAGTTTTGAGCTTGGTTATTTGAAATACTGGTGGTTTAAAGATCATTTTAAGTCATTGTGCTGAATCTTTTATTATTTATTAAGTTATTGGATATGAATGAACTTGAACTTAAAACATGTAAAACTCAAAGGTTGATCTTGAGGGCTTACATGCTTTTCAATCGTAATAAAAATTAGAACTTCACTTGATTATAACCAGCAATAAATAAAAAATGCGCTCGATCCATTCTCCGCATTTACTTAGCATTCAACAAGTTGAATTTTTATTAATCCACCAATTTTCTTTGCATTTTACCTCTAAAAAATCATTTTATTTTAATTTAAAATCAGTGTGAATTTGGGTCAATGCGATAAGGTAAATTACTGAATTATCAAAACAATTTGTCACAGCTACAAAATTACAGAATATAAAAAGTAAATGACTGAATATTGAAAATTTTCGAGAAGTTTATAAATCGATTGTTATATCAATTTTAAAACTATTAGACCATATCAAATTATTTTTACATTCGTCAATTTTCAAGAGTGGTGAGCAATAAGAATAAAATGTTTATGATAATTAAATTAATTGGAGGGGAGAGAGAGGAAAAAAAAATTCGATGGTTTTAATTGATACCATCAAAATGTCAAATACGGGGCTTATACAGAATAGACATGGAAGCATTAAATAAGCGAATTAAATTTATAATTTAATTTAATTTAATTAAGATCTTCTTTTTGCTGTAAATAGGACTTGTTTTTAAGAACTCATTGACTCTATAAATGCATTGAATGTTAATTTTTGATGTCTTGAATAAAATATATTCTTACACTAAACTCGATTCAAATCTACTTTAAAATATTTAAAAAAAAAGTTCCAACCAATTTTTTTTCTGTTTGTTTACAAAAAGCAAAAATTAATGAAAATCGACTTTTAAAGAGCGAATTGGTATCAAAGTATCATGAAAATTGATGTGCTCACTTGTTATTGACATTTTAGATAATTTTAAATGAAGCAATGAGGTAAATTGAGCTCGAAATTGGTGAAAATATATTCGAGGTGAAAAAAAAATCCAGCCAAAAATTTTAATTCAGTTTTTATCGTCTCAGAAGACTATTTCACTAAGAATACTTGAGGATTGATCAAAAATATACTCTCCCAACAAAATTTACGGTCATTAATTATCACTTACAATATTCCACACTCATCTGTTCTTATTACTTCCTACATTTATTATGAAACTTTAATTATCATATATGCTTGCATACACATGACATACGTGTATAATTTTATTTATATATCATGAGATTGAAAAAGGTGATTGACTGAACATAAAAATTAAGTAATTTTAACAGAATATGAATGTCAATTGGAAATCAAAACAGACTAAATAAAATTCCTATTCAGCACACCGTACATTCAGTACCGTTAGTCTTAAAAAATTTCTTGACTTTTTTCTCGTTTCTAATTTCATTTAAGACCACCTCAAACATTATAAAGAAATAAAAATAAAATGGAAAGTGTGAGTTTAGTTGCGCGCATTTAATCGCCATAACCACTTAATTTCAATTTTCGTATATTCGCAATCGGTTTTGTTTTTATGTCAATATGTTTCCCGATCAGTTGGCATGAAAGAGTCTCAGACAGTTTTGCTATTTTCTTCCTCGTCTTAATCATAGGCTGACCATCGACTTTTTACAGAAATGTGCGACATGTTAAATTGAAAATTGAAATGTACAGAACTCTACTCGTGTACAAGCATTTATGTTTATAAATAAATTCACAAAACATGTAATTACCCTTAAAGCATCATCATAAAGATCATATTATGTGCGAGAAACAGCTTATTACTTCATCTCGCTGGATATATATGTACTTTAATGTATAATAATGATTAATAGAAAAAAATATATTACGTTAATACTGTCGCTGTATGTTTGTAATTCACATGTATCAATTAATGCGTACATATATAAAGTAGCTAGTTTTGAAAGTTGTGACTTAAGGAAGAAAAAAATGTATTTTTATGCTTTAGAGTTGTTCGCATAATATATCAAGTTATGGCAATTATAAAATCAAAATACATACAGCAATTGGTTGGATGTAGAAAAGAAATAAAAAGAGAAATAATAATAATAAAAGCGAATTTGAACAAAAAGGTTGTTGGAAAAGCTTGTTGATTTAGGAGGCTAGGAACGCATTCACAAATGATTTTGTTATATGCTGAGTCATGGAAAGTAAAGATAAGAATTTTGGTATATGAATGCGTTCGATAAGAGTTCGTTCAAAAATGACGTAGGACTTAAATTAGGTTAGTTTTATCAAATAGACCCCTCCACCC